TCTTTCTTTTTCTTCCTTATTCTTAAAGTATTCAAAACGGCACCGTTTTGTGGTGACAAATGAAAGCTGTTCACTGTATTTTATTGTAATCTTACTGTAAAATACACGTAATAATAAAATCAAAATCAAATATTCAGAAAACAGTTCAAAAAAATCAAATATTCAGAAAGAGCACTGGATGCTGCAAAGACTATGGTCCCTGACAATGTTCTGGCAATAGTACAGAAGACTTGAGGTCGAAATTGTGCCACTTCCCTAGTCAAGGTATTCCAGTACAGATACAAAACAGGCATCTACCTGACAATGTGGAAAATTGCCAGGTATATCCTGTACACAAAAAAAGGACAAATTTAACCTCGCCAATTACCAGATCTTGCTGCATTTTCAGTAAAGTAGTGGAAGGTATCATCAATGGTGCTATTAAGCAGGACATGCTTAGTAATAACCTGCTCACTAATGCCGCATTTAGGTTCCACCAGGGCCACACTGCTCTGACGTCATTACAGCTTTGGTTCAAACATAGGCAAAAGACCTATATTCTAATGGTGAGGTGAGAGTGACAGCCTTTGATATCAAGGGTGCATTTGACCGAGTGTGACATGAAGGCACCCTAGCAGACTTCAAATCAATGGGTATCATAGGACAAATTCTCCACTGTTTGGAGTCATATCTGACAGATAGGAAGATGGTTATGGTTGTTGAAGGTCAGTTATCTGACCATCTTCTTTATCAATGCTTTATCAATAACCTTTCATCCATCATAAGGTCAGAAGGAGGGATGTTCACCAATGATTGCAAAATATTCAGTATCATTCATGACTCATCAGGTAGTGAAGCAGTCCATGTTCAAATGCAACAACATGTGGATAATATTCAGGCTTGGGCTGACAGGTGCCAAGCAGCATTCGTACTGCACAAGTACCAGACAATGACCATCTCCAAGAGACAACCTAACCACTATCCCTTGACATTCAATACTGTTACTATCACTTAATCCCCCATTATCATTAACCTGAAATTCAACTGGACTTGTCACATAGACACAGTGGTGACAAGAGCTGGTCGGAAGCTCAGAATATTGTGAGTGAGTAACTCACCTCCTGACTCCCCAAAACCTGACCACCACAAGTCAGGAGTATAATGGAATACTCCTCACTTGCCTGGATGGGTGTAGCTCCAACAACACTCTAGAAGCTTGACACCATCCAGGACAAAGCAGTCCTCTTGGTTGGTACTACAACCACACACATCCATTCCCACCACCACTGACTCTCTTCTGCAGTGTGTAGTATCTACAAGATTCACTGCAGAAATTCATTAAAGATCCTTAGAAGGCATCTTCCAAACCCAGAACCAATTCCATATAGAAGGACAGCAGATACGTGGGAAGACCACCAGTTGCAAACTCCCCTTTTAGCTACTCATCATCTTGACTTGGAAATATATCACCATTCCTTCACTGCTGCTGGATCAAAATCCTGGCATTTCCTCCCTAATGGCATTGTAAGTTAACCTACAGCAGGAGGACTTCCACAGTTGCAGAAGGCAGCTCACCACCACTTCGTTAAGGATAACTGGGAAGGGTATAAGAGCTGGCCAGCCAGTGACGCCCACCTCCCTCAAGTGAATGAATTTTTAAAAACAAATAAATAAATCTCATCATATATTATAGCCTCCATCAGTTTTCCCACTATTGTTGTGAAGATAACAGGTCTGTAGTTTCCTGAGTTATCCTTGGGCCCCTTCTTAAACAATGGCAATCCTCCAGTCCATTGGGACTGATCCTGTCTTCAGACAGCCTGGAAAATTTCTGTCATCAGCTCTGCAATTTGCTCCCTTACCTCTCTCGGCATTCTAGCATGCAAGCCATCTGGGCCTGGTAACTTCTCTACATGGAGTGCTGCCAGCTTTTTTACTACTTCTTTATCTATCACTACACTGTTCAGTTGCTCAACACCCACATTTTCAACTGGGCGATTGTCACCATCCTTGAAATTGGTAAAGACAGAAGTAAAGTGCTCATTTAGTATCTCTGGAATACCCTTTGCTTCAGTGAGCAACTTACCATGCTTGTTACTAATGGGTCCCACTCTATCCTTCACTAATCTTTTACTATTAATGTATTTGCAGAACAACTTACTTTGTTTTAGAGCAGCCTGCCATTCTTTCCTCATGCTTCCTATTAACCTTGCTTATTTAAGGCTTAATCTTTCTCCTGCATTTGAGAAACTCTTCCTGATTTCTTCTGCTATTATTATTCCAGCATGCATCATATGCCTTCTTTTTCTTCCTTATTTTCTCATCAATATTGTTAGCCAGCCAGGATGTCCACTTCGATTGGAATACCCTACAACTCACATGCTCCACTTACTGCTGTTTCCAACAATAAAGCCAGTTGGAGTGTCTGTTTGAAGTCCAACTGAGCTTTAGCTAGTAGGCATTTTTGCATAGTTACATCATTATTCCCACATACCTACCAGATAGCCTCTAATCATCTCATTAAGGGTTAAGCCAAATGACAGGCTTCTGTCCATCATCTTAACTGAGGCAAAAATCCTGATACAGAATCCCCTGGTTCTTTATTTGCTGACTAGAAGTGATAGCATCTCAGAATTAGAAGTTGGGGTCATAATATTCCTTAACTATTTCTGTCAAGTCTTGAAAAGTTTCAGCATCTGGTGACTCAGGCCCCTAATGACAGAAAAAGGTGTAGCTCCATATGCTGTCAAGGGAATTACTCATGAATTTTTGCCTGCTATAACGTCATTTGGCCTGAAAAAAAACATTCTTTCCATATACTGGGCCCAGTCCTTGACGGCAGTGTCGAACGAGTCAAGCTTCCCAAAGGCATGATGTCAGGAAGGCTTACCCCAACTCAAAGACAACTGTTACGAGCAAGTTTCTTCAGGTTCTTGCTTTACTCCCATCATTATTGAAATAACTCCACAAAGGCTGGTATTCCATCACCAAGTCACCCTTTATTTGCACGTGAACAGTCATTGACTTTATACTGTCTTACCAGAGTACCTGACACTCATCTATTTTATCTGTCAGCCACGTCTCCCCGATTCAACTAGGTTAACAGCCCCAATCAGGGAACTCAAATTCTATGAGGTCCAGTTGGCTGACCTTGCTGTAATCACTATAAGTGGTCACAGCCAATAACACCCCCTCCTGCAGCCTATCATGCCAACTAACGCTGTCCCTCCTATCCTCTCATAGATCATGTGTGTACCTCATCACCATCCTTGTCCCCACCTTTACACAAGCCTCTGTTCTTCCCCCTACATCCTTGACAGTCCCACTCCTTTAGGCAGTGACCCCTCAGTTGTCCTATAGGCCCCTCTTGCAACTACCTCAACGATCGATGCACTGATTATAGAATGTATCCACCCCAGACTTCTGACCAGTTTGGATGAGCAGTTTCTTGACAAAATGGACCAGACCCTTGACTGCTGGTTCTGGCCCTACAGGACTGACCATTGCTCACTCCCTGTACTTTCATCACACAGACTGACTCCTGACTGTGAGCAGCCCATGCAGATAACTGACCATATCAAGCCCATTGTTTATTGACTGTGCCTGTGACTTACAGTAGTAGAGTCCTAACAGAGCCCCTGCCTCTCTGCCTTGACTGGGCCAAGGACCAATGCCGTATACTTTCAGATATGGTCATTTGGTTGAATGAATATTCTCCCGGCGTTCTAGGCCAGTGGCAGCAGCAGTGAGGCCATTCGCCTGGTGTTCAGGGCCAGCAGCAGCAGCAGCAAAATTCTTCCAATAAGTTGGGGCGGGAGCAGACTCTTCAAGATGGCGGCGCCGGCGAGGTGACATTTGCAGCTGAAATGGGACTCATGGCCCGGCGGCGGCCTGGCTTAGCATCGGAGCCAGGGAATCTTGGTTGTGGGCTGAGTGTGGGGTCAGCAGTGTCAGTGCAGTGGGCCCAGTGACAAAAAGATGGTGCCTAAAGTGGGGTGACTCCTATGTTGTTGGGTCTGGCAGAGGTGGCGGCGAGATCTCCCTTAAGCCCAGGTGCCTGCATGGACTGGGTCAGAAAGACTGATATTCTGAACATTTTACTTCTTGATGTTTCTAACTCATTCTTATGACCTATAATGCTGAACTATTTATTTCTTTACCAATTTTTTTTGTTTCCTAAGAATTTGATCTTAAGTACCTGTACGTAGGTACCTTTGAATCCAGGATGGTGCTGTAATGTGGCGACTGCAAACTTTTCACTGTACTCATTTGAACACGTGACAATAAAGCTAATTCAATTCAATATTCACAAGAAAGTTACTAATGGTCCTTTAACAAAATAACACAAGTTTATTACAGCAAAAGTAAGAATGCAAACCTATATATATATGATAATTTGAAAAGATCTTTTTATAAACAGCAAAAAGAAAGATTCAACCCATTTTCCTCTGAAATTTCCTTTATAAACATTCATCACTATCTTCACTTTTAAATTTCTTACTTAACTGTTGTGCGTGCAAGTTCACCTTTTTGTGAATTTCTGCACTTCCATCAAATGTGATTCTCTCTGCTTCTCCCCAGGTCACAAAGGCATAGGCTGACCCATTGAATTCTCTTTATGAACTCTAAGAAAAAAAGTCAGGGATTTCTCCAGCTACTTTGAGTGCTTTGGACTGCTAAACAGCATTTCTGCTACTATGGATCTTTTCTTCTAAATTGCTTTTGGCCTGTAGCCTCTCTTTCTCTGTCATAAAAGCTCAACTTACTGAAAAAAATTCAGCAATGATCTCAGCAGGTAGCCTGTTTAATCATTTAGCTCACAAGTTTTTGAAAATGTTGTTTTGACCTGCAGCAAAAAAGAAGAGTTTCTGATCATTAGACGAAATCACTGTTACAGAACTGAAGACCAAAAACACTTTTACTTCTTCTTTAGAATCCAAGTTGCCAACAATAATATATTATAGAGCTTTATTATAAATTTTTATGGGTCATTACTGCAGTCACCACATTGGACCTCTTACCTTTTATGTTTGTGGTGATCATAGCGAATATTCTCAAGCCAAATCCTTTGACAGTGGATGCCCTAATTGAGAAACGATAAGTGGTGCCCGGTTCCAAATTCTTAAACTTGTGGTTGGTCTCATTCCTGGGTTTCAAGAGAGTTTTCTTTGGACAGCGTGCAATCACTGCTGGGTCAGAGGATTCGGTGCATTGATAGCTTACCTGATGAACAGAAAACATTATTTTAACAACTAGACACATAGAAATAGTTGTGCTTTATAATTTATCATTTTTCATGTTTCATTGTACACCTGTTCAACTCATAGCATCCAAAATGATTAAATTGTGCAATGGTTACATCATGAGGCCATTCTGCCTGTCATGTCTGTATCTGTTTTCCACAACAGCGATTTAGCTAGTCTCATTCCGTTTGCACGCCTTTTCCCCATGACCCTGCAATTTTCTTTTCTCTTTAGGTGCTTGTGAAATTCCCTTTTGAAAGCCATGATTGATCTGTGATCATCAAAGCATCAGGAGACACATTCGAGAACCTAATCACTTGTAATATGAAAGCTTTTTCTTGAAATCATCGGTGTTTCTTTTGCCAATCACTTTAAATCTCTGTTTCCTAGTTCTCACTCCTTTCATCAAGGGGAATAGATACTCACTATGCACTTTGTCAAGTCTGCACATGATTTTGAATACTGCTGTCTTATCCTCCCCATTCTTCTCGAAGGAGAACAACTCCAGCCTCTCCACATTAACTAAATAGCCAAAGCCTCTTATCTTTAGAACCCCATTAACTGAGATTTTTTTCTGTAATTATTGAAATTCATTCATTCCTAAAGTATCAGTTGAGGTCAAGCCAATGTTTCATAGCTTCTTAGCTTTTGAACTCTATTGAAGAACATAATAGAAAAAGTGAACCAGCAAACATGAAAAACATGGGAGCAGAGATTATGATCTAAAATTGTTGAACTAAATGTCGAGTTCAGACTCTTTCTCTTGTTTCTTTCTTAATCTCTTTAAAATCTCATTTGGCTACTTGCTGTCCAGCTATTTACATCTCTTCTAGGCACACCTTTAGTTTTATTTTACCATGCATATTGCCACTCCTTTAGCTTTTGTGAACTTTTGCCATTTAATCTCGCCTGCCCTCCACCCTGTCACAGCATTTTCTCTTTATATTTCAAATATTAAGCATCTGTAGAAGTTGCTTTCATTTAACTTATTAATTCATATCCACTCTTCTTCCAGGTATACCCACCTCGAAGAAGTTTTGCTCTTTTCTCTGGTCATATTTCTGTTTTAGCCTTTCGGCTTGTTCAACTTCATTTCATTTAATTTCCCTTCTAGTGTTCAATAAAGTGTTTGCCAAAACCCAGTTCACGTCTATATTTAATTCCTTAGTGACTGTTCCCAGCTCTACATTACACTGCACAAATTCCAATAGAGTCCTTCATGTTCAGAATCCACCCAAATTATTGGTATCTTCCTGACATACAATGCTCCTCACACAGCTGTTCCCGCTGCATCCCAAGATCCTTACTCATTGCCATGCACCACCGCATGCACATTCTCAACCTGTCTCTTCATCAGCACTGCTTCACACTACCTCAATGCTGTTCTGGTCCCTCTTCAACAGCACCGCTTCACACTACCTCAATGCTGTTCTGGTCCCTACTTCCATTTCACTTTTCACCTCATTTGATGTTTTAACATTTGGTGCTTTAATCCTTTTCAGGTGTTAAGGAATGCAAGCTCCAAAAAACTCACAGGACCAATATCTCCTAATTTATCTCTCCCCTCCCTTTCCCTCCAACTCCATCCTCCTTTTAATTTCATCTCTTGCCATGTATTCACTGTACCTATGGACCTTTCCCTTCATGATGCTGAACAATCCATGTTTAGCAAAGGACTTAGTTTCATCCCTTTACAACCCCACCTCAATGAAATTTGGGCAGAGCGTGACATTGAAGTCTTCTTCCATTGCCTTCTCCTCTGTGACTACTTCTTTGGACAGGAGTCCATTCCCTGCCCTGCAGACCCTTTCACCCATCTCCAACACATCACATCCATCCGGATTTCTCTATCTAGCCTTTTACAAGCACTTGATATCTTCATTGAGAACTGTTGATATGACATCTGCTGTCTTAATTTCTCTAATATAAAAACAAAGAGCTGCGTGTTCTGGATATCTGAAACAAAAACAGGAAGTGCTGGACACCCTTTCGAGCTCCAATTTGATTTAGGCTCCTTCTCCTCTCCCTAACTCTCCCTCACCTTTGATGACTTGCATCACCCCTTAATAGGCTTTGTATATAAATAAATCAATTGGAAAACATAGGTGATTTACTGGTGGTGGTTAATAGATGAAAAAGATAAACAAAGGTGATCTGGTGATGGAAAAAAATTCAATTGTGTGTAAGAACACTTCTGAACATGGTAAAAAAAATAAAAGCATGTGAGAAACTCAGCAGGCCTGGCAGCTACTGTAAAGAGAAGAACAAGTTAAGGTTTCAACTCCAATGACCCTTTGTCAGAACATTCTCACCAACCCACTCACTAATCAGTTTGGAAGCTGATGAAGGTGCTGGTACCTTGGAGAAATGTAGTCAGAGCCAAGCTCCTGGCAGACAAGCGGTTTGACTGTACAGGAGACGAGGAAGAATAAAGGAAGAGCAATCGTGACAGGGGATTCTTTAGTCAGGGGAGCAGGCATGTGTTTCTGCGGCCGAAGACATGACACCAGGATGGTGTGTTGCCTCCCTGGACCTCAATGGTTGTAATCTCTGGATTATTCCTGGTCCAATATTATCCAATAGGATAATAGGACAGATGAATGCATGGCACAACAGTTGGTCCAAGAGGGAGGGTTTTAGATTTCTGGCTCACTGGGACCGATTTTGGAGAATGTGGGACATGTACAAACAGGATGGTCTGCACCTGAACCACAAGGGACCAAAATCCTTGCAGGTAGGTCTGCCAGCACTGTTAGAAGGAGTCTGGCAGAGGAAGGGGACACATAATATCGATGAAACAGAGACACATGGTGCTACAAACAAAGAACCAAGTCATAGTGAGTTCAGCTATGTTGAGTGTCATGAGAGTAAGGCAAGACTGGATGGTCTTTAATGCTAGGAGTGTTACAGGTAAGAGTGATGAATTAATGGCATGGATTGACACATGATAATAATAATATGATATTGCTGCCATCGCAGAACCATGGTTGAGGGAAGGGCTGGACCCACAACTCAACATTCCTGGGTATAGGATCTTTAGGCAAGACAGAGGAGGGTGTAAAAAGGATGGTGGTGTAGCACTATTAATTAAGGAGTCAATTATTACGATAAAAAAGATGATTACAGAATCCCTACAGTGTGGAAGCAGGCCATTCAACCCATTGAGTTCACACCAACCCTCTGATAAGCATTCCACCCAGACCCAGCACCTACCCTATCTCTGTAACCCTTCATTTCCCAAGGCTAATCCATCCAACCTGCACATCCCTGGACACCATGGGCAATTTAACATGGTAAATCTACAAAACCTGCACATCCTTAGACTATGGGAGGAAGCCCATGCAGACACAGGGAAAATATGTAAATTTCACACAGTCGCCTGAGGCTGGAATCAAACCCAGGACCCTGGTGCAGCAGTGCTAATCAGTGAGCCTGTGTGTTGGCCTCGCTGAATTGCATCCCAGGCTGCTGTGGGAAGTGAGGCAGGAAATTGCAGGGGCTCTGACAAAAAGTTTTAATTCCTCTCTGGCCACAGGGTAAGTGCCAGATGACTAGATGACAGCTAATATAGTTCCACTTTTTAAGAGGGGTGGTAGAGATGAGCCAGGAAATTACAGACTGGTGAGTGTCAAGTCAGCGGTAGTGAAACTATTGGAGAAAATTCTGAAAGAACGAATTAATATCCACTTGGAAAGGTATGGGTTAATCAGAGATAGTCAGCACAGCTTTGACAGAAGGAGGTCAGGCCTAACAAATTTATTAGAATTTTTTGAAATGTGATCAAGGGTGTGGATGAGAGAAGTTCAGTTGATATAGTTTATTTGGATTTTAGCAAAGCTTTTGATGGTCCCACATGGGAGACTGATGGAGAAGATTAAAGCACATGGAATTTAGGGAAACTTGGCGAGATGGATCAGAAACTGGCTTAGTAATAGGACACAAAAGGTAGTGGTAGAACACTGTTTAAGTGACCGGAGGCCAGTGTCTAACGGTGTACCACAAGGATCAGTACAGGGACTCTCATTGTTTGTTATATAGCTAAATGACATAGATGAAAATGTGAGAGGACTGTTAAACAAATTTTCAGGTGAAATCAAAATTGGTAGAGTGGTTAATAGCAAAGAAGATGGTTGTAGGTTACAGGAAGATATAAGTGGGTTGGTCAGATGGGCAGACCAATGGCAGATGGTATTTAACTTTGATAAGTGTGAGGTGATGTACTTTGGATCTTGGGATAATTATTCACGGATCCCTGAAATCAGCAGAACACATGAATAGGATTGTTAATTAAGTATGCATATTATGGGACACGTGCCTTCATCAGTCGTGGCATGGAGAATAAGATCCTAGGGGTAATGCTGGAGTCGTACAGAGCATCGGTCAGGCCACAGCTGGAGTACTGTGTGTAGTTCTGGTCACTTCACAACAGGAAGGATGCAATAGCACTAGATGGGGTACAGAGCAGGCTCACAGGGATTTTGCCTGGAATGGATATATTGAGTTATAAGGAAAGACTAGATAGGCTTGGATTGTTTTCTTTACAGCAGAGAAGACTGAGGGGGGACAGGATTGTTGTGTACAAGATTGTCAGGGGTATCAGCTGTTCCCCTTGGTTGATAGGTCAATCATGAGAGGGCATAGTTTTAGGGTATGGGGAAGGAGATTCAGACTATACTTGGGAAGAAACCTTTTCAGTCACAGTGTGGTGGGAATGTGGAATGCACTGCCTGGGAAGGTAGTGGCAGCTGGAAATCTTACAACCTTTAAAAAATATTTGAATGAGTACTTCAAATGTCATAACATTCAAGGATATGGGACAAGTGCAAGAAATTGGGATTGATGCACTTATAGTGGTGGTTACGCTGGTGCTGACTCAATGGGCCGAAGGGCCTTTTCTACACTGTGTGAATCTATGAATTTGAATCTATAAGGGTCACTGGACTCTAAACATTAATTCTGTTTTTTGTCTCTACAGGTGCTGCCAGGCTGAGTTTCTCCAGCACTTAATGTTTTTGCCTTAATTTCACTGCTCCTCTCACTCACTCTAATCTGTATCCCTCTGAATTTGCTGCACTATGTTCTCTCAGGTCTAGCCCTGGCTTTGGTATCAAACCTGCTGATAAGGGTGGTATTATCTGGTATGCCAATATATAACTGGCAGAGGATGAGAACCAATTCTCAGAGACTTCCTCTTATCTCTCCGGATTATGACCCCACGACTGAATATCTAGCTACTGCTTTCAGGACTGTCACTGACCTCGCCTTCTCTGGTGAGTTCCTCTCCACAACTCCCACTTCAGACTCCAATCCTACACTTATACCTCCTTTCCAAAATTCACTAACAGGACTGTTGTAGCTGACCATGGCTAAATTTGACAAAATGGCTGCTTGTGTTTTTTTTTAAAACTGACACAGATGATCAAAGAAAACTGTAGCTGACGTAGCATTTCATATAGCTCAAATCATGGCCTTCACAGACAGACATCAAAATGCCTCTGAGTCTTAGTAAGATGGGACTAGAATGCAGACAGTAAGAATCTGATAAGGCAGCTCAGATGGAAACTACCTGACTTTCCGATTTTTTATGAAATAGGAGGAGAAAGCTTGACCTACCTTAGATGAGGACTTTTAAATAATTATAATTACATATTAGTGTGGACACATACATTCATACAATAATAGTAGTTTAATGTATTAGACGCTGGAAATTGTAATTAGATTTCTGTAGGCAGTCAGCCTTGGACGCAGAGGATGGTTTCAATAAACATCCTTGGAGAACCTTGATAAGGGTACCAACTAGCAGCTAGCAAATGTCTGGAAAGAGACATAACAGTCAGTGTTGAAAATGTAGTCAATAAGATGTATTGTAAAAGACTAAGGAAAGGTGATAGGGGGTCTGGCAAACATCACAAGATGATGGGAGAACCTAGGGTTGACCATGAAGGTGTCCATCATTGATCATGTATTCACAGGACTAGATGAGTAGGTCAGAGGGGATGTGGCAAACACTGATGTCAATGTTGCATGTAACCATTGTACCATGGTATGTATAAATATCCTGTACTTTACTGGGAAAGGTAGAGTGTCCTGGAGACCTCTCCCACTTTGTGTTAGTAAGGAGCTCTGAGTAAAGATTGATTTGTGCTACTCAGACTCCTCTTTAAAATCCCTCTCCAAAAAGGAACTTATTTCTTCCTATCTTGACGTTATTCCTTCTTGTTCTGTCTCTTCACACTTATATTTGTTGCTCTTCTGATGCTTTATGCTGGTTCCACAATTTTCAGTTTCTTGGCCCGAACTACCTCCTCACATCTATTCCCCATCAGATGGTCTGACGACTCTCTACTTCTTCCCTGAAAAGAGATCTGAACAGTCCTCATCCACCACCCCACTTCTTCACCTGGCTGAGATCATTCTCACCTGGCTGAGCTCATTCTCACTTTTGAACAATTTTTCCTTTAACTCATCTCACTTTCTTCAAGTGTGCCCATGGGTATGTGCCTGAGTCGAAGTTATGCCTGTCTCTTTGTTGAGTTTGTGGAACACTCCTTGTTCCAGTCCTACTGTTTCCATTTCTGAGGATAGGCTGTCCACAAATATCCACCAAAAACTCCACTGACACCCAAAGTTGGCTTGACTTACATCCTCACACCCTGCTTTCTGTAATGGCTCCATTCATTCTACTAGATCCTCTCTCCCCATTGCTCTGGGGCACCTCCAACATGTCCTCCTTTTTTTCTCAACTAAGGATTTCTTCCAATACCCTTTCCTTTCCCTCTCAGTACAATAGCACTTACTTTCCATCCCATTGGTCTCTGACCATCCTCCGCCATTTTCACCACCTCCAGCAAGATACTACCACCAAACATATCTACCTCTGCTGTCTTTCGGTGCTCCACCAAGACTATTCCCTCCACAACACCCTGGTTCACTGCTCCACCATTCCTATAATCACCCCACCTGGCAACTCCAATGCAATTGCAGAAGGTGTAACATTTGCTCTTTCACCTCATGTCTCCTCACTGTCCAAGGCCTCAAATGCATTCCAGGTGAAGCAGCATTTTACATGGACCTCTATCAATCTAGTCTACCATATTTGCTGTTAACAATGCAGTCTCGTTTGCATTGGCAAGACTAAACACAGACTAGATGAGCACTTTGGAGAACATCATTGCTCTATCTGTAAAACTGACCCTAACCTTCCAGTTGCTTCCATTTCAATAAACCATATGCTTCCATACTATTACTTCCATCCAGGCAATTACAGTGTTCCACTGAAGCTCAAGGCAAGCTGGAGGAACGATACCTCATTTTCTGCTTCAGTCCCTTAGACTCAATGTTGAGTTTAACTTCAGAGTGTGACCTCTGTCTTCCAATTGTATAGGACTATGACCCCTCTGCCCCAACCATGTATTGTTTGTGCCTGGAAGAACACAGCAGGCTGGCAGCATCTGGAGGAAAGGAGCAGTCAACATTTTAGGTATTACCTTTCTTCAGGACAGATGGCTTTACTCTCAGCAGAGTGGATCCATTTTCTCCATTTCACGACTAACAAATTTATACTTATTTATACTATGTATCTTTTGTGTACTTTCTGCACTCCCTTTGTCTTTTGCTCTTGGCACCCTCAACTTCTGTTCCACTTGCTCCTCCTCCCCCTCTGTCAACAAAATAAAAGTCGATATTTTCCAGCTTCTTTCAGTTCTGAAGAGGAATCATATCAGACTTGAAACATTAACTCTTTTTCTCTTACCACAGATGCTACCAGACCTGCTGAGCTTCTCTCGCACTTTCTCTTTTCATTACAATGAATCTTAGCATTGTTGAGTAATAAAAACATAAACTAAGTTGTTAAGAAACAGGTTAATAAAATTCCTTCAGTCCTTAAATTTGTATAATGTGCAGTTAGAAAACTATACTTAATAGATGAAAGATACATATACAAACTCATTAGTATGGCATATAATGTTCTGTAACCTGATTTCAGCTTATATAAATCAGTCAGTGTGAATACCAAACTAGCTCACTGATGGTTGAAGATTTACCAAACTACTGCTTTAAGTTATGCACCATTTCCATTGTACAATTAGGGAATATTCTCAATGTGTATCTGCCACCAATGCTGTTTGCTGGTGATTGCAGTGAAAGGTCAGAAGTCTGCAACACAATATCAGAAGTTTGTGGCCTGAGAGAGAAAAACAGAAAGGGAGAGGTATGAGGAAATATGGAAAGAGAGAAGTGAAATAATTTCATAGAGTCTGGTATCCCTTAATCAAGTTACCCTTTGTTTACATGTGGAGAGTCCTTGACACTGGTGCAGCTTCTACAGAGCCAGCTTTCAGAGTGTGCAGAACATCTGACACCCCTGTTTATATCTGTCAGCCAGGGCTCCCTGATTAGATCAGTTTAACAGCCCCAATCAGGGAACTCATATTCTATGAGGTCCACCTGGCTTACTCCATTACAACCACTACAAGAAAGATTGAAATGTCTACTCTTCTGGCTTAAGGAAGAAACTAACGGCCAACCCAGTGTGGGTAACATGTATTTGGTGAAACCTGAGTGATGTTCAGTGGTGGTGTTTGTAACAAAATGAACATGCATCAAACATTCTCACTTAGTGAGGCATCAAACAAACAGTATTTTGTCACAACTATTGTGAACATCTGTCTTCAGGTCTACATTGCATCATTTCAACAAACTGCTGATCATAGCTGTACTATTATATAGAGATGCCCAGGCCTATAGTGAAAGAGCAAAACTAAAATGCTGTTACCATGGTTACTATAATGGCTCTGCTTCTAAGGATTGGACAGAATTTGGATGCCAGCTGGAGATTTGTGGTCTGGAAACGCTGAGAGGAAAGGAAGCACACAAATCATCCGTACACCCGAGCATTCATTCGCGATTTGTTCTGTTGATAGAATCTGATTACGAGAATCTTTGATTGACTTTGCAAAGGTCAATAGTTCTATTATCTATGTGACCAATAATCTTTTGCTCTAATTTTGACAAGCTACTTATCACAATAATTACCTCATACTGTGTGATAATACCATTAGACACCTGTGGTTCATTCCATTCCAAAAATACCATATCCTCTGTGAATGACCTACTGATGGACGATGCTGAAATTCTGCCAGGTACTGAGGAAGAAGAAGAGTAACCACAACACGTTATATTCATAATAAACATTGTTATAATATTCATATGTATAAAGTTAAATCAGTAGCCCTCCATCTATTGATATAGAGGAGTTCTAAGAATGTAAATAAAAATTGTCAGTCTTGAAGGTGCCACATTACATTGATATACTTGAAGTCCAGCACAGAAACTGACATTCAGCTCAACTGGTATATGCTGACATTTCCTACTTATTTTCATCTAAAACTATCAGAATATCCTTCTATACCATTCTCCCTCATATACGTATCTAGCTTCCCTATAAATGTATGCAAACTATTTGCTGTTTTTCATTCTTAAGCTAGAATGCTATGATCTCAGGTAATACTTGAAAAGATAGATCCTAGAGTGAAATATGGCTTGACAGATCATAAGTCTAATTTTTGCAGTTGGTTGCTGTGATGGTCACTAAATGTATTCATGCCAGGCTGCCAATTTTTAAAATAAAATGACACAATTTTATTGCACAAAAGAAATCAATAAACAAAACCATACACATGACAATTTATGAAGTCTTAACATAGAAAGCAAAGAAAGCAAAGTTCCAACCTGTTACCCAACAGTATCCTTTACAGATACTCAATCCTTTACAAGATACTTGTATCTTAACCCCAATACTCCTATCTTAACTCTTTTTGTTAATTTATTTAACTGACTGTTTCTAGATTTGTTGGCCTAGAGACCTCTTTCCAGTTCCAATTACTTAAATTTTATTTCAGTTCTGAGCTTAAACATCTACATTATTCTCACAGACTTCACAAACTATACTCCTTCTGTTGAGTGAAACTGTTCTGTTGAATCTGATTCTGAATTGAACTCAGATCACTAGTGGCTCCTAGTCTGTTTTAACAGCCTGTATTAAAAGTTTAACTGTGCAAATACTTTATCAGTTAACCTTACAGGAAACTTGGTCAGCATGTAATTGAAATCACATGCTTTCTTGGAAATTATGTAGCTCCAAATGACTTTCTGACCTCTTCCTAAAATGCTTTGTGCAGAACTGAAACTACACATCTACTTCTCCTTTAAAATCTAAATTCCTGAAATGATAATATACCTTTATCAGAGCAAGCTTCACATTCTTTGCTTTCCTTAGGTAAAGGGGTTTTTCCTGAATTTCCTACTAGATATATTGTGACTATCATATATTTGTGGTTCCTCGTTTTGGTTTCCCTTCAAATGACAATATCTTCTCTATGTGTAGCCAATCAAATCTTTCTATGATCGATGCAGAATTTACAACACATTTATACTGACTTCAGCAAACAATAGAAAGTATTCACTGCCCGTCACATAGGCATAGATAGCACAGACACAATGCAAAATAAAAGTAATGGCTGCATTTTTGTACAAATGTGGCCTTCTGATCTCAGGACAGAGTGAGAGTGTCTGGGTCCTGTGCAAGTTGTCAGATTGCTTGACAGTGATCTATTCCACCGGTCTCTATTTGGTATTTTTGTGTTCATTGACTATGGTTCCTCAGGTGGAAGATTCAATCAGAAAGCCTGTACCCCAGGTCAGCCAGCTGGCTGGCAGGCCTTTTGGGAGAAGTGGGACCTTCAGATCCAGACAGAGGAAAGGAAGGGTGTCTCAAAATGGAGGTGCTCTCTGAATATTCAGCAAAGTTAAAAACAAAGAATGGTGACAGCTGTCAGGCCATCATTATAGATAGGGGTCCCTGACTCAACTGGCTATGCTTCTTTGAGCCCATGGCTTCAAGATTGGAAAGAGACACAGGAAGTGCCTGGCCTGGTGTAGAGAGGTCAGTTCCAGGTACCTGCTGGACTCTGCCCTCAGCAGAAGGGTTAGCTAATGTCCAATGATCCTGGTAGCTGGATCAATTTGTCCTCAAGCAGGCATTTATTTGTCCTGCTGGTGCAGATTACCAATACTGGTTTGATCTTGCCCCCAGCAAAATTATCCAGAGGTTGAAACACGTCAGGGAGGTGGTGCAATGTACTATTTTCTCTATTTTCTCATTTGGCTTCTAGTGCTTGGGGGTTAAGGTGGATTGCAAATTTTTTCTGTTCCTTTATTTCAACGTACATTGTTTTTCCAAAAGTGGATTTTGTTTCATTAACTTAGAACACATTAATTGTGGGATGAATTGTTTGGTTTTTGTTCAATTTTGTAGCTGTAACTTTAGTCATGACTCAGTTTGATGTCAATGGTGTGAAATTTCCATAACTGGGATTTACTGTGATACTATTTCTCTCTGACATAATGCAGTTTTAAAGTTTAATTATTGAATTCAAGTTTGAAGTAAGATAGAACCTTCAAAGTTTCATTTTTGTCTCTCCTCAGCTTTCTAGTTTCTCATCTTTTACATTGGCTTTGCTTCTCATAACCAAAGTTTTAATTTCTCCGAATCATGAAATAGTGTCTAGAGTTCCACTACTCTGTGTCATTCGAACATCGAAAATAGGGGCAGAAGTAGACCATTCAGCTCCTCAAACCCTTTCTCTGCCGTTTAAGAGGATGATGGCTGATCTATTCGAGCTTCAAATTGCACATCCCATCTATCCCCATTCTCCTTCTAACAAATATTTCCACCTGTATCTTAAAAACTTTCAATGACTTCACATCTACTATTTCAAAGTCACCAACCCTGAGAGATAGAAAATCTCCTTGCCTTTGTTGTGAAACCACACCTGTCTCACCACCAGTTTATAGCAATCCCAAAAAAGTGAAGTACTACAGATGTTGAAAATAAAAATAGAAACATCCAGGAGCATTTGTGGAGACCGAAATGTAGGGTTACTGTTTTAGGTAGACATCTCTTCAGTTTCACTATTATGTTCACCCTCTCTCCCAATATCCACAGATGCAGCTTCATCTGCTGAACACTTCCAGGTTGTTACAACCCTAGTCTTGTCAAGAAAGGCTGAAGAGGTTAAACCCGTACTCTGGGAAGTTTATGACAGATATCAAATTGAAATACGTAAAATCTTGAGGGAACTTGATAGGGTGGATATCAGGAGGTAAACAAGAACTAGGGGACATAGTTTAACAACAAAAAGATCCTGCTTTCTTGTGTAGAAAACAGTGGAGGTAGGATCATTCAATTTATTCAAGGCTGATCTACATAGGCTTTTGATTGACAAGGGAGTCAAGGGATATGCGGACCAGATAGGAAAGTGTAATTGAGATTGTGAACAGAACAGCAGTAATCTTCTGGACTAAATATTGAGTTCAATACCTTCAAATTGTGAACCTACTCCCATACCTTCCCTTTTTTTTAGCTTTACTTATTACATTGTCTGACACCATTTCCTCTCTTCCATCCCCCCACCCCAGTGGGACTGTCTGTTCTTTCATGTCTGGCAGTTAGACACACCAATGTTCTGGCATTCTCACATTCCCATCACTTAATCTGAACAATCAACATCCTATTTCTCCTAGCACTCTACAACCCACCATCAACCCCCCCCAACCTATAGCATAAATGCTGCCCCCCCACACTGCACTTCCAGCTCTGAATTTAGTTATTTAGTCTTGAAACTTTAGCTTGGTCTCTCTCCATGAATGCTGTCTGACCTGCCGTGATCTCCAGCATTTGTTGTTTTCAAAAGATCCATCCTGACCTGCAAGATCCACCTTCATGGAAGAGACCCAATCCTACACCAGAGAGGAAAGAGGTTCTGGCCCAGCACAAAAACATGGATCATTATGGGTAATATCACTTCTCAGACGATTGAGATAGATACAGAGTAAATAGTGTAGGAATTTCAGAAATGCTCATGTGGTATTTTTATGAACAAATATTTTGTTAATAAAATTGAGTTGAACTACAAACTGACAAGAGCACTTTGGTAAAGTGTTTTTAATACATAAACTGGTTGAACTGTCCAAACATGGCAACATTTCCTTCCTTGAGTGGGGCTTTGATTAGAAGTGTTTGTATAACCTTAAAAATCAAACCCCATCAACTTTGAATTGTCAGACATCCAGCCTGAGCCTGAATAATAGGGAAACTGTCTCACTTGACAGCCAGGTTTCAAGTGGGTGAAAGAGAGTGAAGGATGCCAATCAGTGATCAGGCCATAAACCAAGCGCTCGTAACGTGAGGCCAAAGAGCCAGATTTGCTACAGGGTTGAGGACCTATAGAAAGCAGAGTCAAGGAAGTCAAATACAGGGTCAGAGGACCCATGAGATGGTGAGAATCTAGATATTGGGGTCAGGGACCCACGAGGATACAGAGAAGCTAGAGTAGGGTCAGGGATCCATGAGGTAAAATACAGGGAAAAGGGTTGGAGACCCAGAGTTAGACAGAAGTGAAAAAACAGCTAATACAGGGTCAGGGTCCCACGAGAGAGAAAAGAAAGAGAGAAACAGACAGAGAGCAGTAAATTGAAAGGGAAAATGTACGAGAATTGGCACAGTGCCCAGAGTGGGAAGAGGTAATAAGAAAGAACATAAATAAGAAGTGGCGCAGGTGGGTCAACCATTGCAGTGAGCAAATACCTGGAGCATGCTTTAAACCTCAGCAAGGCTATAGCGATACCCATCTGCATGCCGGGGCTGAGAGGTAGAGAATGGGAGAAGGTGATGCAAGTACGGAGCTGGAGGAAACAGGAACTGGTGAAAGTGAGAGTCAAAGCAGCAAGGCAGGAGCAGAGGAACCAGATGAATGTGGTACCCAGTGCAATAGAGTGTGACAGGAGATGGGGCGTATGATTAGCGATCAAGACACAGCACCAAAATGCCATGGATGAGCTGAACAAGAAACGTGAAAACCAGAAAATAAAAACCGAAAGAGTTACGGATGCTATAAATCAGGAAGAAAAACAAAGTTGCTGGAAAAACTCAGCAGGTCTGGCAGCATCTGTAAAGAAAAAAAACAGAGTTAAAGTTTTGGGTCCGGTGACCCTTCCTTAGAACTGATGGTAGCTGGGAAAACGTCAGTTTATATGCAGAAAATAGGAAGGTGGGTCAAAACGTAAAAAGTAAGAGGTTGCTCTC